CATCATCATCATCATCACCATATATAATGTCAGCAACATACACGAAAGTCAACCACATACCGATTACAACAAACATCATACGAGATAGACAGTCAAGACATTCGATAGTCAACATATCAAACAGACATTTCATGAACAACCAACACAACCTGATATTGGTATGAAACCTTATATAAATGTGTACTGAAACATACTTCTGTACAGATAAATAGTCTATATAAATTGTTGGCAAGTTTTTCAAACCTGTTTGTTTCTTTACTTTATCATACCTTCCACTATTCACCATATGTTACAAATTTACCAATAATATCGAGTTTCTTGGTAGATAATAATAAACATACCTTCATTTCATCGTCAAATTTTCTCCGTTCAACTTCTAATTCTGTTTTCTGTGTTTCCATGTCAAGTCCCCGTGTTTCAAGATCCGTTTCTACTTTTTCCACTTTCTCCAAAAAGTCCTTTTCAAGTTGCAGACGGCGAGATTCAAATTCCCTCATTTTCTGATCACACGTTGCTAATTCTTCGTTCAACCGTCTTTCTTTGTCTAAAAGACGATTTGTCAATTTGTCCGAAACTGATTCACGCTCATACATTTCACGCTCACGTTCACGTAAATGGGCGTCCCTCTCTTCAACATATTCCTTTGATTTATGGACAAATCCAGAAAAACTACCATGTAACTTTTCCAGAAATTGTTTCCCAATCTGTTCAATTTGATCATGAATATCGATTTCCCAAGCTGTTGTGACGTCATCAAATATAGAATGTTCATACAGAGGACCAAAAGGATGTTCCTCGGTTGGCTCCACCTCTTCCGGTGCAGATTTCCATTGTCCATCACGATCACACAACTCCATAGCTACGATTGGGCGAGTAAAGTCTGAGTCCACACCGAGTATTTTACCCATAGATTTGTCGCGATTTAAAACTAATTGCCAAGAACTGTCTACGTCCGCCTTGGCCCAAAGTCTTGTAGGCTGAGAGTTTGGTATTCTGTACAAATCACGAACCTTCCACTCAATATGTCCAACTTTTTCCATTTTACTGAATCTGACGTTATGAAAGTCCTCCACAGAAGATGAAGTTAGCATCACTTTAAACGAATTCAAATTATGTTCGATTTCAGGCCCTCTTTTATAACTGAAGACCACAAGTTTCATAGGTTTATGACCTTCGGCGAGTCCATACCAACTTACTAACATTCGCCAGGCATCTTCGTGTAAAAAGTCGACAGTATGAGCGTAATCTCGGCGCGTGTAAATAGGCCCAGGTGGCGAAGCGGTTTTATTTTGATAATATTTCCTGGTAGTTGCTATACCCAGGTATTTTTTAAGGTGTTCCAACCATTCGGCTACCACCACATACCAGAAGTCACCCTCCGACAACTTTCTATCAAGTAACTGCTCCACGATGCCTTTTTGTGTTGTGGGTTCTGGAGAATTAGATGACGGTAACGGTGTAGGTAGTGAGGCGCCCGCTTCCATATTACTATTAGAAGTTCGCCTCTCCAAACACACACTAATAGGTCTGGTATGTGACGTCATTACCTTTCACGAGCATCTGAAATCACATGTTAGATTAGCAATACATAGAAGTTTAGGCCTTCGATATTTAAGATTTTGGCATATTTTCAAGTTCTGAAGTAGTAATAGAATGTCAAATTCCTGTTTATCACACACAAACATAATTTTTTATACACGAATGAGGAAACAGAATAATTTAAAAAATTCCAGACAGATTATGCCCTGCAAATAATTTGTCTTGAGAAGGATATGTAAAGAAAACCAAAGTTTTTTTTGAGGAATTATTATTTTTAATTTCAATGGTCAAAACACAGATCAGATAATTATTATATTGGCAATACTCTCTATAGATGGACTTCGTTATTTACATGTATCTACATAATGCCAGGTGTAACGACATCAAAATTTTTATCTGGGTGATATGTTGACTTTTAAATACCTATAAATCATTGTAAAGACAAGAGGGATCCAAATTACAGATCTGTAACGCCGGGTGGGATAATATGAACCTGTACCCTATGTAAGGCTATGTAAAAGCCTCAATCAGGCGTTACTGCATTCTATTTCCGTAGGGCATATTGTCCACGAGGTAGCCTATGTATCCAGAGATAACTTGTCTATACTCTTTAATGTACAGTGCAGATAATTAAGTTTCTGAAAGAAGGTTACTGACATGGTATTGACTACTGCATTATTGTGTATAATGCCTAAAAGATCTACAGGTAGGTTATATCTGATGTACAGATCACGCGCACTTCCAGACGTTAGTTTCCGTTGCCATGATCTAAAAATAGCTTGGCTTTTAGCCACGTGCTTTTGTTTACATCCATGAACGAGATCTAGTTCTCTAAATCTATTGCATAATAACACGTTGACATTTTCAAATTTAATTCGGAGGTTTGTTCAGAGATATCAAAAAGGTATGTTAGGTATTATCAGTGAAGATAGTAAAATGGTTCTGCGCTTTCTCTTTCCAACCACCATATATGCAAAATACCTTTTGAAAGGAAGACATGAATGAAATTGGTTCCATTGTATGAAAGACGATACCAAAAGCCAAATTCATATTGGCAAAATTCATATTGGCAATTAAAGCGCATTGGTTGAGCACAAAAATACGATATGTCATTTAGAGAAAAAGAATAATAAGAACTATTAATAACTTATTTGTTCTACGTTCTGAGGTTTTATTTTCTACTTGCGACTTGCTGAATCCGAGGAACCATTAATTCTAATATCAAGTCATATTTCTCTGGGGTATGCCATAAGAAAAAAACCCAAATATTATGAAATTGAAAACTAAGTAACATATATGAATTCAGCTGCAAGGACAGAAAAGAGTTTTAAAATAAATCATCTACATCTACATGTAGTACATATAGAAGTGCACAAATATTAAAAAGGAGAATGCTTACCCAATTGGAAAGTTGATAAAAAGCAGTCTTCGCTCCACTGATGTTTTGAATTTTGATTGCTTTGTCAAAGTTTCCCTTTGTTTATATACTAAAACGCACGTGATGGATGAAAACGAGGTTCACGCGATTTTTGGCACCAAAATCAATGACGTCACCTGTTAATATAATGTATTAATGAATACAGGTACCATTTTCCTACTGCGTTTTACTTCAACCTATTAGTAAAGTAAAGGAGGGAAATTAATTACAGTTCTAAATATAGTATCATTCTGCACTCATAATGTGCATTCTAAATCGGTCACCCCAAAGCACACATTTTTGTCGAATATGTCATACAAGTGATTAAAATATCTTTGTGACTAAAACATGTGTCATGCGATCAGCTGTCATTGCTGAAATCATTTTATCCCATTCTAAATGCGTGACATCGCCTACTTCAAATTATTGAAGGTGTAGGCTGGTACCCTGAAAGTAATATTTTTTCTTCAACCTTTACTTCATCAATTTAGATCTAATGAGGAACAATGGAAAACAGCATCACAGTATCATCAGAGATTGTCTCTGTGGCAACTGGAAACAGTGGCGTATATCATGCTAACAAAAATATTGTTGGACAGACAATGATTATTTAATATTCATGAGCTCATTAATACATAATGGTTTATGCTGAAAAGGTAATAGTCGAGGATGTCAAAAAATGTACCCTAAGGAATTAGTACATTTCTCATCATAAAGCTTACCTTAAACAGGGCCGCACGCTTAGATGTTTTAAAAGACGAACCTAAAGGGTGCTCAGAGAATCCGTTTTTCGCTGTTTTTCTCTAACACAGATCTTTAAAGAAATTGAGGCATGGTTACGTCCCCGTCATACCTATAATGCTATTCTGTAAATGAATTTTTAACTACTTAGTATGGTTATATCGCTTGGTGAGCAGTTTTAAATGTTCATTCTTTAGTGACACTTTTTCATTGGCAATTTTCATCAGCGTTTTATTCTTTATGCGTCAAAGTTAACGACCAAAAGATAACACAATCATACTAAAAGATTTTACAGTCTACAGGGCAAACATGGTAAATCCTCATGGCCGAAATTGCACAAGGGTATTTTCGATTGGCAAATAGAGTTGATAGCTACTGATTTGTTCTAGACACAAAATTCGCATCCCAAAATACGGGTTTTGATAAAGTTTTCATAACAAGGGATGTGATTGGTCTCTATTGGTCTCTGATAGCTATTTGGCCAGATGTCGACTGGTGTATGAAGCCATGTTCAGTAGAGACTTTTCCCATCTCCGAAAGTTTTAAACTTATTTAAATACATGTATCTCGGATCTGCAAAACTCAGATGAATATTTTTGTGTTTCAGTCATACCATACTTTTCTGCCTGCACCATTTATGTCATGTCTCCGTTTCCATCATATTTTTTTATGGTCATGGTCATTTAATACTGCGTGCGCAGCCGAAAGTTTAAAGGTCACGGATACTAATAAAACGGAAGTTACAGTGATGCACACTCACTTATTTTCGCTACAGTCATCTTAAAGGTAATTAATTTAATATTATATTTGATAAAAAAAAAATAAAACATATCTTCAGAGGTGTGGCAAATCTCCTATTTTTCTGACTCTACTCCAGCCGACAACTGTTAAATTATTCACTTAGTCCGGCGCACTTAGCCATCAGCTCAGACCGAATTCATTCGTGCACTTCCCCTTAAGGCGATAGCTTCCGTGTGCGGTAAATTTATGTAAGATTTTGGTCATTCGTGTCAGAAAGTTGAAAATCAAACGTGTTTAATAATTTTTTCCACGAATGAGCAAATGCTTGTGTGTGCGCGTAACTAAAGCTATCTGCTTAGAGGTAACTTGATCTACGCATGCGTAGTCACGCGACAATTCAAAATGGCTGCGTGGGAAAAATTATCAAATACGTTTGATTTTCAACTTTTCGTCACGAATGACCAAAATCTTAAGGCTAGCGCATACGAGAGCTCCCAGCTGAGCAAAATTTCATTCGTGCCTCTCATCTCAGCTCGTAGCTCTCGTGTGCGCGGAGTTTACGTAAGGTTTTTTTCATTCGAGGCATTAAGGAAATTATCTGTCGTGTTTGATGACTTCTTCCTCAAATGAAAAATACCTTACCGTGTGCGCACTCGAAAGCTCTTAGCTTTCAACTTTGAACTGAGGCGCATGCGCTAGCACGTGATCAAACAAAAATGGCTGCGCCCATCGGTGAATGCGAGTTTGTATCTGAAGCAATTATCGAAGACATGATGGTGGACGTATGGCCGGAATATCCATAGCTTACGAGAGCCTGCAAGTATTCTTCGTCGGTGACGACGCAACAACAACAGAAGAAGTAAAATATCTTCATATTTCTGAATCATTCGAAGGGTTGTTGACGTCCGACATTTTGTTTAAGTCACATGAGAATGTCACGTGATCTAGTTATTTTTAGACGTCTGACTCAACACCCCGTTTACGAAAGCTCTAAGCTTAGCGTGTGCGGGGAAAACCGACGAAAGCTGCGAGCTGAGGTGGGAGAGACGAATGAAATTTTGCTCAGCTGGGAGCTCTCGTGTACGCTAGCCTTTACATAAATATACCCGCACACGGAAGCTATTGCCTTAAGGAGAAGTGCACGAATGAATTCTGCCTGAGCTGATGGCTCATGTGTGCGCCGGGCTGTTACCTTATAAATTACGCATTGATAAATGCATGGAATCAATCCTGACGTTCACTATTATATGGTATGTTATCGTTACTTACAATTGTTAAATGGGACAATATTAATTGAGGCCTCTAAAAAAAACCTTGGCATTTTGGAATCCAACAAGAATAGGAAACTGGCCGTCTGGTAAACAAATTTCCTAAATTGCTCTTTGCATGACGTTGTCAGTCGTCATAATAAGCTCAGTTAGTAGAAGACGTATTAAGTTTGGTTGTATGAAGACGCATGAAACGTCTTAATTTCAGATATCTAGTTCAGCCTAGTGGAACATGAATGTCTTTGATAATACAATCAATTGAAAGCGGGGATAGTTTTGTCCTACAGAAAGTTGGGTGGGTGTTTAGTATGTTGGATAGGTTCGTGTAGGTATATTTCCGGTTTGTATTGGCAAAGGAAATGTGATTATATGGCTATTCTGTAGATCAACAGCCACTTTTCTTCGGTGAATGGTGGGATGGAAGTGGGTCTCCGCGATGACGGCGGACGTTTGATGTGTGAGTACGTGTGCGTGTTAGGCTATGCTAGTACAGAGACTGTATCTTGGTTCCAACAGAATACAGGTATAGTCTTTCAGCAAAATTTTTGTGATAAACCTGTTGGTTGTTAGCTGATATGAATGTTTTGGACTTGATGTTGAATATTAAAAGTAAACTGGGGCTTATTTTATACTGCCTGGTCAGACATTTTCAACATCAACATGTAAATGATTGACCACTGCAATTTCCCAAAAACTCTTGTTAATGGTATTTGATAACACACTTAATATCCATTACAGAACTAGTGACATTCTAGCCATGTGAAATATTTGATCCACA